TCACTTGTGAGTCTTGACTGGGGTGCGCCTGGACTACTTTTGCCAATAGGCCAATGTGCTCTGGGCTGTTGGGGATCCATTATCATGACTATCGTGCCTGTGGTTAGATTAGGGAATGTATGGTGCCATTTCTGTCTGACTTGCAAGTTCGGAAGGTAATGGCGACTCTCTGAAGCATCGCTGAACACATGAAGGTCTGTAATAGATCGCGTTTGATCTACTGAAGCTGGTACATATGATCTTGGGAAACTGATCTTGTGAAGAAACTGCAGCTCACTTTCCCATTTGTTCCAGCTCTGGACTAAGGCTTGGGGAAGTTGGGTGTAACAAAGTTCATAGTTCGGGAAGCAGGAGGCGGGAACCGGCGAATGTTCAAAGAACACTTTAATAAAATAAACAAACCGAGCTACGGGTCTAGTCTCGGACATCCACTGATCTCACTTGTGAGTCTTGACTGGGGTGCACCTGGACTACTTTTGCCAATAGGCCAATGTGCTCTGGGCTGTTGGGGATCCATTATCATGACTATCGTGCCTGTGGTTAGATTAGGGAATGTATGGTGCCATTTCTGTCTGACTTGCAAGTTCGGAAGGTAATGGCGGATAAAGGAGGACCAGAAGTGGTCAGCTAACACTTGAGAGTGTCTCCAACGGCGACGACTCAAGCCCTCTTCTTTAGGGTATATGATTATAGGTAGGGAGTTGTCTAGCCGCCCCGTGAGAAGAAGGTTGGGTGTTACTGGATCGGGATCAGCCACGTTACAAGACACATACCCGAGGGGTCTGGAATTAAGGATGTTCTCGTATCATCCCAGCTGTGCTGCTTGTTCCAAAGTTGTTGGACCAGTACCTTAGCCATCGTAGTATATGGGAGGATATATCCTAAGGGGTCGTACTGGCTTGCTAAAACTTTATAAATAATCCTCATGGTGGGAGCACCATGATCGATGGGCCGGTGACGGTAAGTCAGGACGTCTGCCGGGCAATTCCAACTAAGGCCCAATGTGGACTCCTGGACATCAGTCTTTTCATGAGCTAGCCAGAGTTCAAACCCATCCGATCTGGTTTCAGGTGGAAGATGCTTAATGACAACTGGCATATTGCTGGCCCATTGCCTCAATTCAAAGCCTCCTTCAGCTAATAGCCCCCTCAGATTGTCAACTAATTGCTTAGCCTCCTCTGGTGATGGCAAGCTCTGCAAGCAATTGTCAACGTAAAAGCATCGTTCTATGGAGAACCTCACGTCATCGTCCGGTTGGCTATGGTCCCTTACGTGCCGCTGTAAGGCAAAGGTCGCACAGCAAGGGCTGCACGTTGTCCCGAATGGCAGAACTTGCCATTCAAAGACATCAGGGGTCCCCTTTTCCTTGGAGTCACGCCAGATAAACCGAAGAAGGGGTCTATCTTCGGGAAGAAGGCGGACCTGGTGAAACATGCCCCGGATATCTGCACTGATGGCGACTGCATGCTCACGGAATCTGAGTAAGACCCCCAGGAGAGATGAACCCAAGGTGGGGCCAGCGAGGAGTGAATCATTTAAGCTGAGACCATTAAACTGAAAGGAGCAATCAAAACCTGGAATGCTTCGCACAGTTCCCGTTCCCCACCTCAGAAATTTGTTCCTTGGTTCGAATGTAATTCTACTGGGGAACCTCTATGTGCAATAAACCTCCGAAGTGACATCAAAAAGGAATCGGTGTCCAAGCTGTTCAGCAGGTCTATGTGTACGGCTCGTGTGGTAAGACACTTGTAGAGGATTCCCCACCTCTTTTCTACTCGTCGACCAATCTTTACAAGAAAGGGGCCGAAGCAATCCATACCGGTCGAATGAAAGGCTGGCTTGTAGAAGCGCAAGCGTGCCAAAGGAAGGTCTGCCATTTTGGGAAAGGTAGGTTTGGCTCTCAGTCTTTGACATTCCGTACAGGCATGCTGTAAGATGCGGATGGCCGCTCTTCCTCTTAGCACCCAGAACTGTCTCCTTATTTCTGCAAACAACCGATCAGGGCCTGGATGGCAGAGTCTTTCATCAAAATCTTGAAGAAGCAATTTCACAGCTGGATGTCTAGAGTCTAGTACGATTGGATGTTTCAGGTTGGGATTTAAGGTCTCTGCATGTCTTAACCTACCACCAACCCAGATTAGATTGGTGGATGTGTCATATTCTGGAGTTAAGGTGAGTAAGCGGCTATTATGTTGAAGAGCCTTGCCTGATTTCAACCGTTGTAATTCCCCAGGGAAATTCTCACTTTGCACCTTCTGGAGTATGTATGTCTCTGCTGTTTGGTAAGTGTTTGCTGTAGGTTCTCCTGATTCTCCAGCCGCTATTATGGCACACCATGTGATGTGGAATAAACCAGCACTCACCATCTCCTTCTCTTTCTTCTGGACTGAGCCTTCTGATTGCTCCTGACTGAACCAATTTCTGGATTTCGGAGGAATAAGCGTCAGCTTGTTGCGGGTCTCTGGCAAGTTTTCTCTCAGTACTTCGTAGGCGTGGCATAACTGCTTCCATAGTGGTGTGAAGATGGGGCATGTCACTTTTTCGTAACAAGGGTGTTGCATACCGGCATATTCCATCCACCTCTACGCGAACTGTTTTGGCTTCCAGTAGTTCAACGGCCCTTTGGTCCTGCTTTGACCCTGTGCACTCCCTTTCATTCTGAAAGGGCAAAACATCCACTTGCCACAGCCTATTAACATTCTTGACAGTTCTGTGGTGCTGGGGGGAAGGGATATGTAGAGACACTCTTTCGGCTTGAGTCGCTGCTCCAACAGGCTGGTAGGGCCCTGCAATGTCCAGCCTAGTTTGGTTCTTATTGCAGCGGGACCACCCGGTGGACCAAGTCTTACCGGCTCAATTGGTGAGATCATGTGAGTTTGATCTGCACCAACAAGGATGAGAGGTTTAGCCTTTTCGAAGCACTGTAATGGTAGTCCAGCCAAGTGTTTGTACTGCTTCTGCAGCTTGGAAATTGGGTACGAGTGGTCAATGAGATCAAGCTGTGGCGCAGTAAAGGCTCTGGATATGAGATATCGCTTCTTCGGATTGGAGTATGGAGAAATGTGGAATGAGACTGAAGCCCCCTCAAGGGTTTGCACATCATGACGGATTGTTCTCAGAGCTAAATTTCTTCAGTACCTCTCAAGCCAAGTTTCTGTGCTGCTTCTGGCAGAAGCATTGTACGCTCAGAACCGTCATCGAGGATTGCGAATGGTGTCATATTCTGGAGTTAAGGTGAGTAAGCGACTATTATGTTGAAGAGCCTTGCCTGATTTCAACCATTGTAATTCCTCAGGGAAACTCTCACTTTGCACCTTCTGGAGTATGTATGTCTCTGCTGTTTGGTAAGTGTTTGCTGTAGGTTCTCCTGATTCTCCAGCCGCCCCATGTAGCTCCTGTGCAATGGCCTTCACCAGTTCTGTCCAGGTCTTGTACTCACTGCCAAATTGTTTGTCTACAGCTACAACTCCACAGAATGCAGATTTCTTGAGCTCAGACTTGTCGATCTCGGGGCACTCTGTAGGGTTTGTTGGCCAGTTCGCTGAGGAAAGAAGCAGGAATGGGGGCCCTTGGCTCCATCTGTTGGGCTTAGCAAGGTCCTTTAGAGTCTTTCCTCGTGTAAGGTCGTCCGCTGGATTTTGAACTGAATCCACGTATCGCCAGGTGGTGGTGTTGGTAAGCTCGTGGATTTCAGCCACTCTGGTACCGACGAAAACTTTGAAATGGCAAGACTCTGACTGAATCCAAGACAGCACTGTAGTGGAGTCTGTCCAGAGAACTGCGTGGCGAAGTGGCAATGTTAACTCTTTCTGCAACTGGGTTTTTAGCTGTGCACCAGTTACCGCAGCACAGAGCTCCAAGCGGGGTATTGACAGGACTCTTTTTGGTGCTACTCTAGAGCGTGCCAGTACGACGGAAGTAAGGAATGGTGGGGGATGGACCTTTGTAATATTTCTCTGTCAGATCCACAGGTGCCACGGGAGGTGACACATTATAGGAAGCCATCCTGTGTTGTTCAGGATAAAGATGTCCTGGTTGTTTATGTGCATACGGAGGACCTATCTGTCGGGCAGGATACTGGCCATACCTGAGCTGGTTATCATACGAACTTGGATAGCTGAAATCCCTAGTCTGCTCAACTGAAGTGAGTCTAGGGGTAATGCTTGCCGCACTGATTAATATTTTCTGGCTCATCATATGCAACAGGTGGAGGAGGCTCTGGCCAGCCTTCATCACCCGCATCCGCTGCATGGTGAAATTTAACGGATGGATGGTCAGACCGGGTGTTGGACATAGATAAAGGCCTTTGCAGACTACAGGCTCTGTCTAAAAGCTGAATCAGCTCATCTTTGGCTGTCTCAATCCGTTTAAGGTCAGCTTGTATGGCCTGCTGTGTTTCACGAAGCTTTAAATTCTCCTCTGAGATCCTTTGTAACTTTAGGGAGCTAGCATCTGATATATCGCTCTGGTATCCATCAACTTCATCACCAAGGGGAACGAACTCTGCATTGGATTCAAACTGTAGTTCTCGGTTTGAATATTGTGGTGATGTCTGATGGGCAGGACTGGAAATGTGCTGCTGCAGAAGACTTGGAAGGTCACGATGCTTATCCCTGACCGTCAGCCTCGAAGGGGAAGAAAAGGTAGGTAAACTGTGTGCTCTCTTAGGCTTTGCAGCAGATGTTCCAACCTGTGATGAAGAGTAATCATCATCAGATGACTCCACTGGTTGTTCTCTCGTACTAATTGGTGACGCTGATTTACGGAAGCTCTGCAAGTCCACCTCATAGTCTTGTAAATAGGCTGGACGACGCTTTGGGCGAACCAAGGGATTTACTGGTTCAGAACTGGCTGACATCTTAATCCAGAGAAGTGATCATCCGGCTCGAAGGACCATTTGTAGGATTTGGAAATGTTGAGTTTATCTTTAAAGGACTGTGGAAGGGATCACTTGCCCTGGTGGGCTGGTCAGAACCCAGGAACTCAGTCAACAACAGTTCTTTCTTTGATGACTTTACTGTGCTATGGCGCATGTAATAGGTGTGGTCTGTACAAAGATAACAAATACAATAAAGTGAATAATACAAACTTCAAATCCAATAATTTGACATTACTATCAATATTACTGGAAATAAGTGAAATGCTACAGCTCAATGGATTGCCATATTAGCATCTGAATAGGCCATTTAACCACAATCTTCATTAACACACTTATACTTGCAATTCACAATAGACAGATGAACTAAAACAATAATCTATCTCAACGTAGAACATGAGAACAGTAGAAATAAAGCGATTATAGAATTTCACGGCAGATATACATAACACGCATGTAAACAGGCGCTGGTTATGCACGCTCAATCAATCAAAAATAATTACCATAGCTGCAAATGCCGGCAAGATTACAACTTAATCTCAATATTAAGCATAATTTAACAAGAACAACTCACTTTACAGGATGCACGCACACATATTACACCTGGATTTGGATCGGCTGGCATCTCTTCTCTCAAACTTTGCTGCGCAATCTTAAAATGGCGACAAGTCTTAAAAGGGCAACAAGTCTTAAAGGGGCAACAAGTCTTAAAGGGGCCACGCACGCAAGCCGTTTGTACAGTACCCAATATTTAAAACATTTACAAATGCAATAAAAATATTGGTATCGGTACTCGGTATCGGCAAGTACCAAAAATAAAAGTATCGGTATCGGGCGAGTACTGAAAAAAGTGGTATCGGTGCATCCCTAATTTTTAATATAACTCCGACTGGATTCGTCTGAAAGAAGAAAGTCATATACACCTAGAATGCCTCGGAGGTGAGTAAATCACAGCCTAATTTTCATTTTTGGGTGAACTAACCCTTTAAAACAATAGGGAAAAAAGCTATTTTTATTCTGCTGTGATTATTGTTTGTTTTCTGTTCTATAGTGATGCTCATTCCACTACATTTATCCCAGCTCAATCAAAGGGAAATACACATTGTCCTCAGCAGAGCTTACTTATCCGTCACATAGTGACAGTGAGCATGGTTTCTTTCATTACAACACGATCAATACACACTCCAATCAATCATTTTCTTGCCAGAGTCAGAGGCCTGCCAATACCTTTACCAGAGCCCACTGCACAGACCAAGAGACAGAAACGGGACGAGGGAAGATTTTCTGGGTTTACAGCGAATGCTTTAATACCTTAAGACATGAGCGCTCTTTGAAACTGGGTGCAAAGGAGCCAATCTGTAATCTTTGTAAGAGACTTTGTGATAACGACACCACCCTTAGACCCCGTGCACATTCAAGTCGTCTTCAAAAGGGACATGACAGTCTGAGGCCTAATGGTTATAGTGATACTTATGTGGTTCAAATGCGGCTTGTGACATTTCCTAATACCGTTTCTGTTCCACTATTGTATTTTCAAAGAGCAGAAATTAAAAACGTGATAGCACCTACATTATCAGAATGATACTTACCCATAAATTAAACAAATCGGATGCGCATACTAAGCGTTTAAAATTGAGATATTAAATGGGGCCTAAAAAGACTGTTATTTATTACACTTTCTGTTCACACGTACAGACAGTTCAAGGATGTATTAGCTCGACTCACTGCAATATGTCGTATTCTCAAGACTACTTGCAATTCCCCGTGATGATTAAAACTATAATTCAGAATCAATTATCTAGTGTTTTGTTATGAAATATGCATGTCATAAGTTGCCTATAGTAATCAGATTTACAGATGGATCCTGGGGTCATATTAGGCTAAATCCCATAAATGAAATATTCTCAGGGGAGAGCGCCGAGTTTCTCTTTTTATGAGGGTGCTAAGTAATCCTATAAAGTCTGGATTTGCCTTTCTTTACGAGGCTCAGTGTTGTGTTGGATCTTAGGGCCTTAAGAGCTGCCAAACAGGGACAAATTACAAATCATTGAGAAAAACCAAAGCACTGCAGCTATTGATTCAAACAAATCAAGGGTAAACATCTTTCTGCATGATCTTTCCACTCCAGCGTATTCACGTCCCTGGATACACAGCCATTGTAGCTGCCGCGTTGATCTCCTCTTGCGTGCCGCGTTACCTGTATTCACAGATCCCCCGGCTTATCTCCCACAGGACGACGATGAAATATGTGAGGATTTTTTTGTTTATTCCGTGCAGCGGTCCACATTGACCTATCGGACACAATATCGTGGCTGTGACCTTGTTGTGTAAAGGCTGCACGGCCTGTCCTGAGCAGCACTTGAGCAAATAAGTGAATCCGTACACAGGCAATCCAAAATAAACGGTGTGTTAGTTGTTCTGGTATAACAATCTTTGATTCAGGACATGAAATGTGTGTCTTCAGGTTCAGGCTTGGGGAATGTTTGCTCGTCATTTGGAAATTGATTTTTTTGGTGCGTCCTTTGAATTTAAAAGAGCTTTTTAATTAAAAACAAATAGAATTTCAAATGTACATCGCACAGGAAATGGGTCTGAAGGGTTGAATGATGGAATGATTGATTAAGTGTTGATTATATGGTCGTTTGTTTCAGGTAATGACAAAACAAGTCACATGACAAAAAGCGGACAGCCGAGAGGATCTTGCTGGATTTTGGCAGAAGATACTTGAGCAGTGTTTCTCAACTCTTCCAAATCAGGTCGGTTTTGAAAGCAAGAGCAAAAAACAATGTGAAATGTAAATAATATAATGCAGCTAACTGTATAATTTGTAGTTAGGCATTCCAACTCTTAAAAAAGGGGTAAAAATGCCTCCCATATCTTTTGTTGACATCAAATGTTGTGTGTCCAATCAAACTCTATGGTATTTTGCTGCAGATTCATTTGTCACTTAGTAGGACCTAGCCAAACTAGACAGATTCCAACATGCATGACATCCTATCAAAAACAAATCAAAACTACATGGATAGGGAGAATACAAAGCAGAATAAATGAATAAAATAAAATGAATTATTGGCTTAAACCCTTTGAAATGCAAGAGGCATTTTGAAACTAAATTCATCAAGTTTCATTTTCATATAGCTTGTGTCATTTTTATTAATTTTGCATATTGTTGGGTGTTTGCAGTTTATGACAATGCTAATAAAATATAATGTTTGATTTTAAATACTAAATACACTAACATTTAAAAGTTTGGAGAAATGAATATTTTTATTCAGCAAGGATGCATTAAATTGATCAAAAGTGACAGTACAAAAGATTTTTGTTTCAAATAAATCATCATCAAAGTGTCATGTGGGGGAAAAACGAGTATCAAGGTTTCCACAAAAATATTAAGCAGCACAACTGCTTTCAACACTATAAGAATAAATGTTTCTTGAGCAGCAAATCAGCATATTAGAATGATAACTGAATGATCAAGTGACACTGAAGACTGGAGTAATGATGCTGAAAATTCCGCTTTGCCATCACAGGAATAAATTTCATGTTAAAATAAATCAAAAGAGGAAACAATTATTTAAACTAAGAGACTTATTGCCAACCCCAAGAATAAGAAACTTCTTACCATCCACAAAATTTTGAAAGGTATTATATGTAAGCTAAACAATTTGGTGATATTGGGTCACCACATGATGTCCAAATCTGGTTCCTGTAGCAAAAAAGTTGAGAACTACAGAACTTGGGCTGATTAGCATGGCATAATTAGCCTGCTGGTTAAATCAACATAATCTGATGCTTAAAAATTCAATTTAAAGGATTTAAAATTTTCAGTGTATTCTGACAAAAATAAAAAAAATTGTGCAAACTATACTAATATTTAATTATATTACCGTAGATATGTTCCAGGTGCCTGAAACTTTTCAGTGCATTATTTTTTCCCCCCTACCTGCTTCCGTGATGTGATTAGTCACATGCAGTGTTGGGGAAAGTTACTTTTAAAAGTAGTGCATTACAATATTGCGTTACTCCATAAAAAAGTAACTAATTATGTTACTTAGTTACTTTTTATGGAAAGTAATGCGTTACGTTACTTTTGAATTACTTTTTAAATCTGGACAGGGCTTGCTTGTTTGATTTTAAAATAAAAAAGTTCTATTTTTGGCAAATATAAAAGCCTTTTCACACCAAAAGTGAAACGAGTAAGCCTCAGGCTGAAGGGAAAGTAAATGTACGTCCGTACAGTAGAATGCAGATGTAAATTAAAAAGTAATGCGTTACTTTACTAGTTACTTTAAAAGTAATCTGATTATGTAACTTACGTTACTTGTAATATATTACCCCCAACACTGGTCACATGGCATTTACTGCTGAAGTGATTGGACCAGCCAAGGAACTGCCATTAAGATGAATGGAAATGCTAACAGCTAGCTTTCTTCAGGTATTACAGACCTCCTTGTCTCCTCTGCCTTTGCTGTTATTCTGTTAACACCCTTTCCTCAAGTGATTCTGAGGGATTCAATCACAAATCAGTAGTTTTTGTCTCTTTTGTCAGAGGATGCTTTCAGTAAAGATCTGCCTGATTTTGTCAGAGAAAGAGGCTTCAGTGGACTTTTCTGAACTATCAAATTGCACATTCTTTGCCCACATAATAAGATATAAGACATAAAGGTCACCGAGCTCACCTTTCCAAAGAGATGTCAGCCTTACAGACATACAGAGAGAGAGCTGTGCTCTGTGCTTCAATGAGAAGCACAAATTTCCCTAAAGCGAGGTTTGACTGTCACCTTTACCAGCTAACGGTTTGCCTTTATTGAGCCTGAAATCTAATTGTTTACATTTTAAGCAATAACACCTCTTTCTCATGGAAAACACCACCTTTATGCAATGCCACATCTATTAAAATAAATCAGGACACATTGAGCGTTAACTAGGTGTCTCGCTCTCTTTCTCTTTGTCTGTCTGTTTAGGCCATCAGAGCAGAAATAAATGTTTGAATGCACACTGGTTCCAGAGGTATCAATTAGTCATATGTTAGGGGAGCCTTCAAAGGGGACATTGAAATTCAAATTAATTTCAGCGCTTTCATTAAATGAATTATGCTTTGAGAAAGTCATGAAGGCTGTTGGATCTGTGCTCTCTTTTTAAAAGCTGTGGTTTGATTTCAAAATATTTTTTGCAAACACAAAATCATTCTGTAAATGTAGATGTCCAATTCTCTAAAGAATCTTTATTTTTCTGAACTGTTTCTTTAATTTAAACTGTCCACACATGAGCCCTATTCGGATGGGACTGGTTTTCCCTGAAGAGGTCGTGTAAAAATGTTTCACAGACGTACTTTTTGATTCTGAATCCCGTCTGAATCAAACACTTCTGTGTTTTTTTTCTTGTACAACCTTGGTAAAAGTGATGGAGCAAATTACCTAGTGGTTTTCAGCTAACTCTGAAGTCCTCTGAGAAATTTAATCCCATCCGGATAGGAATGTTATTGCAGCATATTATTTTTCACAACAGTTCTCCTCATTTATTTTGACCTTCGCTGGATAACCTAACTAAAACAACATTTCTTGGTGTACTGCATGGTGAATGGATTTAAACTTTTATTTTTTTTTTTATAACAAAAGGGGCTAAAATAACTGTCAAGGGTTCATATAGTACT